TTCTTGGTCAATGCAAGTAGGTATATATGCACATACGCCGGTTATGTAGACTCTATTCCGTAAGTAAATACACTCAGGGTTTATAAATAGATCATCGATCTGCAATGACACATTACATATTCAGGTTCAGATCTCTCCGGGAGCACAAGGGGAAGATACTGCTCGTCTAAAGCATGGGTCATATTAGCTGCAATGAACTGCATTATTATCAGGAGAAATCCTCATTTCATACACCATGTAGAGAGCAGAAAACTAACACAGAAAGTTAATTAGCGACAATGTCAGACTGAAATAATTCGACTTTCTCATTCTCTCGGGAATCTGGAAGCAATCGAGACCCCGGAACGTTTCAACTAGCAGGAGGATAGAATTAAAAAAAGGCCGGAAGGAAGTACAGAGAACAGGAACATGAGAAGGATCCAGAATAAAGGATGGAACCAACAATAATAGATGGCAATGAATGAATGAGTAATAAAAGGATGGGAAATGTTGAAAAGAGCTGAGTAAATGTGGTAATTGGGAAAGGTAGGACAAGAGAGGAAAAGTGTTAACTGACTTACAGATCTTCAGTTTACTATTATTCTAAAGTTCACCTCTTAGGGCAGCTATCAAAAAGCAAACAGTTATGTGGGTCATTAATATTGTTGTCCCCCTTAAGTCCCACCAGATAGCCACTTTTTAATTGGGGAATAAGGGGGATGGGGTGCTGTCAAATAAAAAGTGCAGGCACATGGGGTACATGCATATACCTTCAGCAGTCCCCAAGTCCCCACTGTTATGCTGTAATGCCAGACCATTCTGCAGGGCATAGCGTAAGCACTTCCTGCTAGTGTGGAAGTCTGTCTGCCCATTCCTGCTGCCTCCTCTTTATTCCTATTTTGAAACATTTAATAGTAAGAGCATCAAATACAACCACTTTGCTTTGGCGAAAAAAGCCTCTCCCTTTTTCAGGGCTTGAGCAGTCAATGTTAACAGAATTATGATAGAATGCACAAGGGGACCTGAGTTTAGGCTTGATGAAGACTAGTACCTCCTAACAGCACTAAGAGTGGCCAGCCACCCCTCAGGAAGTATCCAAGAATTAACAGTCTGCTGAGCGATTCCTTTGTCACGATCAGAAAGGTAGCAGCCTATAACCAGAACAAGACCCACCCACACTATATTTCCATCATGGATCTGCTTCTTTGAAGAAAAACACATCTTAAGGTATATCATTCAGAACAAGTATTGGCCAGTGAGGAAGTCCATCATATGGACTTCCTCACTGGCTCCAAGCATTCCTTGATGGGCCAAAAGGAATGCATGGGGGCAAAAGGGAACACACATTTCCAGATTGTAGGAGCTTTGCACCTTGAAAAGCCCAGCATTCAGGTGTAACAGTAGAGATTTGGTGGTTGATGAAGGTATCTGAAAGCACCTCTAGTAGCACTCTATATCTGACAGTAGACCCTCGTAGGAAAGAGTTGCAGACAGTAGATTAGCCAACATCAATAAGAGAAAAAAAAAGCTAAGCTACTTCTGTAAGGATCCAGGGTTGGATATTCTTCCCAGACTGTTGAGAGTCAGAAGAGCAGGAAGATTGTACTACCATAATTTCTGAGAGATCATAGTGGATGGAGAGACAAGAAAGATACCCTTTAGATTGTAAGCTCCACAAGTAGGGCCCTCACATTCCTTCTGTACTGAAATGTAATTGTACTGTCTCCCTTATATTGTAAAGCACTGTGCAAACTGTTGGCGCTATATAAATCCTGAATAATAATAATAAAGTTCCATTGCTCTGAGCAGTAACCACTGCTGGACCTTATATCATAAAATCCAGTTTGTAGCTTTGCCATTGTGTAGCCAGTCAGTTTCCCAGATTTGTGAAATACTGGGTGGTTAAGGCTAGAGTATGCAATTGCTACACGTTAATGCCCCTCCTGGCTGGAGGCCATACTACTTCATCTGGCCCTAAACCGGAAGGATAATGTCCTTTCACCTGCCGGTGATACCTGTGGCACTGACTATGAAGTCATTTTGAGACAGATAGCATGAAAACACTGAATTTCCTCCACCAGTTCTTTTACACACGTTACACTTACTCTTCAACCCAAAGGCATGGAGGGAAGCGGCTGTATACTTCCCAAGGCCTCACACACTTGTGGTCCAGGGCCAGTCCATAGGAGGGCTCAGCTATGTAGAGGTCCCTAACTGAGGAACTCTGCCACTTGGACAGGTGGACCATACAGCCACCAATCCAACTCTCTAACAGAACCTCTGGAACTGGCCATCACCACCTTCTCTCCCAAACAGGCAGCTTTTCACTTGTTACTCTCCAGTACCCATATGAATAACATGGTTGTACAACTTTTCTTTCTACTGTATGACAGTCTTTAGGGCTGTACTGTGGCGTTTCATACCTCTAGCTTGTAGCACTTCCCAATCAAAAATAATGTGGCTTGTAATTGGGGGTTACCCCAGTTACAGTAGGTGCAACACTACTTCTCTCCTTGTATGTCTCATGACCATTTACATTCCTCTGACTCTCCACAAACTGACCTATACTAAGCCTTATTCCTTTCCGCTTAATTACCCCAGCTATGGCAACCTTAACAGGCCAAATGGCAGACACACCACAGTGAGTTAACCCTTACATTACTACTCAGTAACTTTGAATGAAAAGTATAAATGACAGAACTGACACTTGCCTACCCACCTGTTCCCTGGAATGATATCATCCTACTACCTATTGAGTCTACTGCACAGAAGGGAAGCGAAGGGAAATCTTCCTAATGAAGCACAGATGGCAAGAAAAAAAACATTTTACAGCAGTTTTAACCCTCCCCTATGCCACCTCCCTACCCCTGCTTTAGATATACTTTAAGAGAGAAGTAGTTAAGGAGAAGTATCCCAAAAGTATCAGCTGAGGGTTAGGCCAACTGTATATGTGGGAAACGGTACTTCTGTAAACAGCAGTTTTTGCCATGTATAATAGAAAATATCATAATGTGTATAAAACTAACTGATAAGCGACATATTTCCAAAGTGATCAGGTCCTCTTTGACTGTCGTGAAATAGGTTCCATTGGCTTTTGACGATTCTAGCATAATGTAGCCCATAGTCTAAAAACTTTGATCTATTTTATAACTATTGTAATGCTGTTGAAAACAAAGCAAAAGCTAATAAGGCAACTGCAAATCCTCATCACCAGTGGGAAAAAAAACCTTGACCCTAGCCATGGCATTTAAACTTAGTCCTGGCTCAATCAGTCCTCCAATGTATCCTACCAGCTATAACGGAAGATGCTATTTTCAGTACGAAATACATTAAATCCATGATAAATTCACATATATTGTTGGTCAACACCACAATCTGTAAAAGAATTTTAAAGTTTGACCATCCTTATGAAGAGCGTTCTGTACTAGTGACAAAATGGGTTCTCTTCAGCCTAATCAGATGTGACCTTATCACAAGCTAAAACGTATTGCTGCTGTAACAACCAATTAGATTCTCAATTTTTTTGAGTAGCTGTCATGTTCCAGCAGTGTGCCAGCTTTTATTATTGAGAACAATAGTTCGTAGTGCGAGGTTCTTCCATCAAAAACAAGAATAAATCCGTTTCTGTGAGTGTGTCTAACCTCTTACCTATCCCTGGCTAGCAAGCTATCAAACCTGAATGCTAATATTTAACAGAAGCCCTAAAATATATTCATAGCTTTTAAAGCTCTCCCTAACCCTAATACTTGATCTTCAAACTTAACATGAACCCCAACCTAACCAATAATAATAAACTAGGTATGCTGCAATTGCCTACTGTATATCTAAAGAATATTACCTTTTCTTGACTGAAGCATCATCTGCAAAAGCCCCCAGTCCCAAGCTAAGATCTAACAATGCAGATATCAGTGCTGAAAGCTGATAAATCAATGTTTCAGTGTAGGTTCAAACTTGTTTAGTTGCTATAAGGACCCAGAAATGTTTTTTTATTTCAGAGATTGTGACAACTGAGCTTTATTTTCTTTGCATATGTTTGATGTGAATGCAACAGGGCAGGGTTTATCTCTTCCATGGTCTTGCTGTGGCCACTTGCATATTGGCCACATCATGAAGGAAAGCTGATTGCATCCTCAGCACAACTCTATCCTATTGGGGATGCAACAGCATGTACTATATACAGTATTGTGTGTTAATATCACTTGACCAGTAGATGGCACTGTACACTAAGGTTACCAGTTGTGCATATCTTTAAAACTTGTTGGTTCTCTCTCTCTCTCTCTTCATAACCAAGATGTCTGCTGTTACAGATTACTGAAATGATTTGTATGTTTGCAACTTAAGCCACACAAGTAAACCAAGTTCTGCCTCATCAAAAGCTACTAGTGTCTTCTCTAACACATAACCAACATATCCTGTACATCCATCCAAGCTATTGTAAAGTGCTTTTTCTTTTTACATTGCATTTTGAGTCTTTCTTTAATCACCTCCTAACCTTCAAACCCCTGGAATGTTTCAATTGATGGTTTTATCCCATTGGATGTGGTGGCATAGGGTCTTTGCTCTATGTGGACATCAGGGTGGTTTAGCCATTCTGCCCCATGTATCTACTGGGTTTGGTCATGTGATCTGCCATTGCACGGCCAAATGCAATGCATGCATTGACCAGATTCACTGCACCAGTGATTAGCAAGTTTCCTTCTTTCAAATGGAGGATACTGTAACATGACCAAATGTTACAGACACGTTGAGTAATGCCACTGCGGTGGTCATTAGCAACTTACACTAATTTGCTTCTAAAAGTGCATTTGGTTAGCACTGTTAGGAGGGTATCGAGGAGGCAGTACAGGGGGCGTCAAGAGGAGGCTCTGAGCAAAAAAATCAGCACCTAATCATAAAACAGCTTTGAGAATTTAGGAAACATTGGGAAGTGCATATAGCTTTCCATTCCTTAGGGGAAGTATGTATCACTATGGAGAGATGGTCTTGAACATACATATATTCCAAAGGTTCAAAAAGGTATATTAAAGTGGTTCTAAAGGCTCAAGGTATTTTGCCTTTATGCATTCTATGCATGAAGGCAAAAATCCTTCTCTGTGCAGCATCCCCCCCAAGCCCCCTCTAATACTCACCTAAGCTTCCTCGCGATCCAGCGATGTGCGCAGGAGTCTTGGCTATCCTGGGACTACCTCTCCTCATTGGCTGAGACAGAAGTGGGAGCCATTGTCTCCCACTACTGTCAATCACAGCCAGTGAGCCAATGAGAAGAGAAAGGGGGTGGGACCGAGTTGCGGCTCCGTGTGTGCATGCACACACGGAGCAGCGGGTGCCCCCATAGCAAGATGCTTGCTGTGGGGACATCCGACAGGAGGGAGGGTCCAGGAGCGCCAGCGGAGGGGACCCAAGAAGAGGAGGATCTGGGCTGCTCTGTGCAAAACCACTGCACACAGCAGTTAAGTATAGACATGTTTGTTATTAAAAAAAAAAAGCCTTTAGATTCACTTTAAGGTACATAAAACAGTATCACAAGCCAGGAAGTCATGTCACAAGGCATGTCAAGTCCAGCAGCATCACCTTAAGAAATGGAAACATTTCCCTTTGATGTGGATTCTGGTTGATATTATCCTTTGGTTATTATTTAAAGCAGAGTTCCAGACAGTTTTGTGTTTATTAAAAGTCGGAAACTACAAAAACTGTAGCTGTTGACTTTTAATAAACACACACTCACCTGTCCCAGGGTCCAGCGATGTGCTCACCTGCACCGTCCCTTCTCTGACTCTTTTCTCCTCGGTGCCGGCATCACAACTGGAGGCACCAGGCTGAGACAGCTTGCAGCTTCACTGCACATGCATGAGTTATGCTGTGCATTCTGATTGGTCCGGCAGAGACTGCAGGAGGAAGGAGGGGGCACCGCAGCAAACTGAGCCAGACATGGGAGTGGGTTCCTGTCAAAACCAGGTACCTCCTCCCCCCAAAAGGTGCCAAATATGGCAGGGGAGGAGGCAAACAAGCTGAGCTTCCACTTAAGAGTGGAACTCCGCTTTAAGCAATTTAGGATTCATGATATCAATTTCATTCACATGTACTCCTGAGGAAGATCCTTTGAAATGTGTTGAGTTTGCATGTGGATTCTTTTGGATCATCTATGTGAACTGAAAATAGACATATTTTATGCTTTCGTAGCATTATCTGCTGTTCTTTTGCTTTTTAATCTGTTTAAATAAAATTTATTAATTTTATATTAGTGTTACTGGTTGCTTATGTATGTCCACTAAAAAATCCATGACTACTGTAGCACTACCTTCTTAGGAGTCGCTTGAAGATTTGGGTCCCCCTATAGCTCTGCAAAGCCAAGCATCGCACAGCCTTCACACATCCGGAATCAGAAATCAGTCCTTGAGCTTTGGTTTTGTTGTTTTCTATAGGGGATTTACATTGGGATATGGTTAGAAGTGTACAGCATGCCCAATGGTACTGATAACCGAGGACAACTTCCTGGAACTAATTACAAGCCTTCTCTGCAGCACAGTCTCTGTTGGAGAGCTACCCAGCATCTCCTTAGCGTACCACCCCAGACTCCAGATGAACTTCTCCTCTTCACCCAGCACTCTGGAGGTGTCCCTGAACAGAGGATCCGGTTCCTGTCACTTTAAGAGTTGAACAGTCACTGACAGGTGGCTAATCTGGTTTTCCACCAGAGTGCTCCTTCCCCTATCTGCCCAGGGGGTGTAGGTGTACTCACTCAAATCCTCTCAGTCCTCTTTGCAGCCTCCTGCTCTCAGCCTCACATCTTCTACCTGAACTCTCCCTCCAACTCTCCTCTCTCCTGCCACTGAGCAGGCTCTAACACTTTAAGGGTGTCCAGCCCCTTGCCAACCTCTTGTTGGGGATTGGCTAAAACTCCTCAAGAGTGCAGCCAGCCACTCTTCAGATCCACTCACTGCCTCTAAGGCCTTCCCCCAAAAGCCCTAGAGCAGGAGGAAATTTCAGAGGGCTTGGCCTGCAGAGCCTCTCAGCCCTGACCACAATTTGATCCCTCTCTGGCTATTACACCTGGGCTGCTACTCAGCCTCTGTCTAACCATTGGAGTGTAGCTCCCCCTAGCTAAATTAGGATGGGCTACACCAGGGGCGGACTGACAACTCATGGGGCCCCCAGGCAATAGGGGATCATGGGGCCCCTGTGTCCTCGCCCACACCCAAAAAAACCTATGAAAAAGCCAATGAAAGGTACCAGGGGCATCTCATGGGCCCCCCTACTGACCCCGGGCCCTTGGGCAGTGCCTGAGTGCTCGAATGGTCAGTTCGCCCCTGGGCTACACTACTTTATATTGTTTGAAATGTTTGATACTATATATGAATGTGGACATATAGCACACAGTGCTTGCAAAAAATCTGGTATCAACACACATAACTGCTAGTTTTCCCTTTTCTGGTGGCTAAATCCTTATTGTCATGTCTCCAGCTTCTATGCTGCAGTACCTGACCCAACTCAACCCGTATCTGAAACCTGTGCTTCACTGGTGTACTATTTGTGCTAATTCTGCATAATCCATTCCAGTGGTCTCAAGTCCCATTTACCAGATTATATACCTAGTCACTCATGCCCAGGGGTGGACTGACAACTCATGGGGCCCCCGGGCAATAGGGGATCATGGGGCCCCTGTGTCCTTGCCCACACTCAAACCACACCCAAAAAAGCCTATGAAAAGTACCAGGGGTATCTCACTGACCTTGGGCCCTCGCGCAGTGCCCGAGTGCTTGAATGATGAGTCCGCCCCTGTTAATACCTTTCCATTGCCCTTGCATTCCCTGTTTCGCTAAACAGGGGTATATGAGCTGGAAAGGCCACCTTCGCCATCTCAGCTCCTTATACAGACATGTGACAGTGCCAACAACGTTCTTCATCAGATGACTGATCCAAATATTGTGGCTTGCTGAAAGAAGACATTAGATTTAATTTACTGCAGAACGCTAAGTACTTTTCATTTGGCTGATGTATTGTGGTGCAGCTATACTGCAGACAGCAATATATTATTTTTATGTGGCTGGGAAATGTGTACTTTAAAGCTTTAAGCTTTGTGCTCCAAAGAAAAAAAATCTCCAAGGACTGACAGAGACATGTCATGCAGGAAAGGGTTTCACAGCAGTCAGCTATGTATTCGCCAGCAGTACCCTATGCCTATTTCAGAATACACATGATCCGCACCTATGGCTTTAGTCATGGATCAAGTCTTGTATTTTGCAATGCTTACAGATTATTCCACTGTGCCAGGTCTTGAAAATGTGCTCCATTTAATGTGGAAGCCTGAAATATTTGGTAAAAAGGGAAGAAGGTGGAGAGAATAGAGAATTAGGATGCCGGCATGTTGCGATATCAGCCAGGCGGCAGATAAAGATATATAGCTAGAAATAAAAACTAGTTGGAGATAAAGGATCCAATTAGTGAGAAAGAAGCGGTTTTCACTTAGATATAAAGGGAACATAAACGGTAACAGCAAAGGTGAATCCGGGGTGCTTTCTCTAATTCTTTCCTTCACCTTCTCTATCGTGTTATACACTGTGGATGAACAACCTCCCATCAATGGGCAGTAAGGGGCAGAATCAGCATAATGATTTCCAAAGGTGAAGCAAGCAAAAATGGAGCTATTGTCCATAGCAACTAGTCTATATGCAGTGAGAAAATTCAATCTGAATCCCTAACAGATAACCAAATAGGCCAACTAAATGCATACATTATATAAGAGCTCCTTCACCTTCCTAAGGATTATTTTATGGTGCGTACAGCTAGAATCTCCCCCCATGTTTTGTAGGAAAGGGGTATACCCACATGGAAGAAAAATATATTTGAAATATATTTAAAAAATATTCTTCCCAAATATATTGCCATATATTTGGAATGCTACAATTTTGGCCATATTCAATATATTTAAAAAAAAATCTATATATTATATATATATATATATATATATATATATATATATATATACGTACAGTATATATACATATACTGCATGTTGAAATGCGTTTTTATTACAAATATATGAAAAATATTTTTAAAAATACATTTCAAATATACTATATGTCTTTAAAAACACATTTAATCTACATTTTTGGAATGCATTTACCAATATATGTAAAAATATGTTAACATGACTTTTTTATATGTTAAAAAAAATCTGAAGAATATTTAAAAAAATATATATATTTTTAAAAAAAAATTTTTCAAATATATTCTTCAGATTTTTTTTAACATATAAAAAAATATTTTTAACATATATTTGTAAATGCATTCCAAAAATGTAGATTTGTAATTTTGAAGACATACAGTATATTTGAAATGTATGTTTTCAAATATTTTTCATATATTTTGCAATAAATACACATTTCAACATGCGATATATATATATATATATATATATATATATATAATATATATATATATATATAAAACTATATTTGAAATATATTGAATATGGCCAATTGTAGCATTTCAAATGTATGGCAATATATTTGGATATTTGGGAAAAATATTTTAAAAATATATTTCAAATATATTTTCTTCCATGTGGGTATGTTCTGTAATCCTGTCCTAGAGTGACAATGATGCTCCTCCTTAGATACAGTAGCATTGTCACTCTAGCAGGAAGTATGTCATAACAAAGGGGTAAAAGCCTGGAAAAAGAATACAAATGAGGCCACCATATTTAACCGCTTGCCGCCCTGCCACTGTGTATATACGTGTGCAGGGCGGCAGTGGAGCGCAAAACCACGTTTTAAAATGGGTTCCGCGCTCCCGACACTTTCGCCGGCAGGGGGCGCGCGCGCGCTCCCGCCGACCCGTGGGTGATCCGATTCGATCCAGGAGGGATCAATCATTAGATTTCAGCCAGTGATTTCTGGCTGAAATCGGATGATCGGCTCCCTGTCCTATCCTGTCCTGTGTTGATATTTACACAGGACAGGATATGATGTCATTCTTCTCTGCCTGGACACATTCCGTTCCAGACAGAGAAGAAGAGACATTTAAACGTGAGTAAAACAGCACACTGACAGTTAGAACACAGTCTAGGACACATTTAACCCCCTGATTGCCCCCCCAGTTAACCCTTCACTGCCCTGTCACCAGTGTCACTGATCAGTGAAGCGATTTTTATTGATCACTGTATCATTGTCGCTGGCGACTTCCAATAGTGCTAGCGCCCCTCCCAGATAGCGCCAGTTTTTGCCCGCCAGTACACCAATAAAGCCATTTAACCCCATTTAATTCCCCCCCCCCCCCCAGTAACCCCTTAACTGCCCTGTCACCAGTGTCACTGATCAGTGAAGCGATTTTTACTGATCACTGTATCAGTGTCCGCTGGCGACTTCCCCTCCCAGATAGCGCCAGATTGCCCACTAATACACCATAGTCCCGTCTAACCCTTGATCGCCCCCCCCCCCGATAACCGAGTTGACCCCTTCACTGCCCAGTCACCATGTCACTGATCAGTGAACCAATTTTGATTTAACCAATTTTTACTGATCACTGTATCAGTGTCGCTGGCGACTTCCGTTAAGAGT